GTGATGATGTTGGTGAAACCCTGCAACCACAACCAATAATTTTAATCCAGAGATCGAGAAGCACTCCTTAGATAAAAAATATTTACCGAAATCAGAAGATCTCTGGAAAGTTCGATGCACCTGAAGATCTTCACTGTCAGAGAATCTGTCGACAGCACTTTCACCAAAGCATTCACCTAATTAAATTGAAGAGATTGCCATAAAAAATATTTACCGAAATCAGAAGATCTCTGGAAAGTTCGATGCACCTGAAGATCTTCACTGTCAGAGAATCTGTCGACAGCACTTTCACCAAAGCATTCACCTAATTAAATTGAAGAGATTGCCAGGTTAGTTTTATTCTTATTTACCCGGAAAAAATTAAGATCAAAGGCTCACCTGAAAATCCGAGTCCACGCAATTTACTGACAGCGCCGAATGCAACACCTTTGTTGAAGCGGGAGACTGTGCAAAATTCCAACAATATCAGCGATGTCATTCGTATTGAATATTTATTTTGGATTTGCAACCAACCTTTTCTCGTATTCCATCCCCCAGTTCACAAATCAAACAAAGCGTGAAAATTCCCATAAATGATGAAAGCCAATGAGAGGCCAGTTGAAAGCCGAAAATTTCTCCTTCGCGAACTGCAACATTATTTAATACAATTTCAAAAAAAGTAATTAAGAAAATCATCAACATGCAACTTACAAGCAATTGTTTTGGAAATGGCTGTGTACAAAGAAGTTGTAACCAAGCAACATCCAAAGGAGAAAGTCGCCGTCAATTGGACACTGTTTACCGAGCAAAACGCGTCAAACACTTGCTTGAACTTGACGTATTCCATTCGAATTTCTTCCAAGGCATGGACGAAATTTTGATTCCTATTTGCTTTGTCGACTCGCAGTATTCCAACTGGACTCCGACTGCAACCTGACGAGAAAACGCATTGAATAATGCATTCTTTTTCGAAAAAGTTTATCGGTGCTGGAGATGTTCACTTATTTCGTCAGTCCGGCGAAATGCGAATTCCTCCAAAACTCCGTCCAGAGACGTGTCGAATGATTCGGAAAAATCTGACGCCAGTTTGTAAGTTGCAAAAAGGTAAGTGAAGGTGATCACGAAGCTCCAGCAAATCGCCAAACCACTGTGAGACATTAAATTGGCATTTTTTCCACTAAAATGAATCGAAAATATCTGACCAAGCCTTACGTGTAAACCAAGCCGAAGAAGTACATTGATTTCAATGGTTGTCCCATATTTTGAACAAACGGGACCATTGCCGAATACAGTTGCAACCCGATGGTGGCAAAAAATGCGATGCAAATTCCGCTAGCAAAGCATGCAGTCAATTTCCTGCGAATCGATGTTGTGTATTGAAGTTTGACAGGCAATTTGACAATCCTGTCATCCATCAATGAGGCAAGCACTTCCGCCAAGGTCTTGGTCTGCAATTATTTATACCCGAAACACCCGGAAATGTATAAAGGAATTATAAAATACAAGCTCGAATTTGATCAAAGTTATCAAAATTAAAGATATTAATCGCCATTGTTCGATTTTAATTTTTGCTACTTTTTCTGCACAAATTTTTCTACCTGGAGCCCCCAAAAAGATTCAAATGATTTATTCACAAAAGTCGCTGTTGTCTTCGAAGGAGCAACTGAAAAAAATTATGTTTTTACTTGTCCTGGTGCCAGCATAAATTTTGACGATGAAGGTCAATATTTTTTTTAAATATTCAGAAACTATTCATTAAAATACTTCTAAAGTGCAAATTAAGCCATACATTCCTTCTGGAAAGGTTCTAGAACAACCAACTTCGCTGTAAAAAAGCGCTCAAAAACCGTTAAAAGTGATAATTATTGTATGGAACTCAAAATTATGCTCATTTTGCAATGAACGAAGTTACACTAAAATTTGTGATTTAATGCAAATCAAAAGGAGCACCGACACGGTACTTCGAAAACGGTTTTTTTTTACTAATTCCTGAGATCAAATCATAAATCAGTCATATGTCAAGAAAATCATCTCATCATCAGTGTAATTGCCATTTCCACCATATCCATTTTGCCAACGCCAGCAGGCGCAATGAGAAACATAAAGCATCCACATAATATGGGGCTGAGAATAATTAAAAAATTGACTCCTGTCTCTTCTTGATAAAAATCAAAGTTCATATCTGAAGCAATCGTCACACGGAAGTAATTTCTAAATGGAAAGAATTGTTCAACTTTACAGATTGTCAATTCAATCCTCGGATACTAAATCTGCGCATCATTGCTTCACGTGTGCACGTCAACTATCCATGACGTGTGCACGTGAAAAAATGCGAAGGTAGATTTCAGTCCTGCCAAGTAACTTGATAAATATAGAATATACAGCCATAAAATGCAAGTTTGCATTACATGACTGTTGTGGTGATGTCCTGATTGGGAAACGAAGAGATTAGTCTACCGAAATTTGCTCCACAAAATCTTTCGTTCGCAGTCATGCCGAATCACTTGATTATACAAAAGGATAATTATAAATAGATTGAAAAATTTAATAGAATTAGGCATTCAATAGCTATAGAGTAGAATATATAGATTGATTCGTTGATGTACAAGCTTTCTTTTTTTCTTGTCACAAGATTCACAAAAAAATTTTGTTCCCACATTCCACGCACACACCCATATTAAACACATCCCGGATCATCCAGAAATAATACACTGCATAGTTAAGAATCACGCAATATCAGATGAAAATAAAAATGACCATCATATTCCTTCAAAAATAGCGGTAAATGGCAATTACAGAATGCACAAATTAAAAAACACGGCATTCAACCTATTCACGGATATTTTAAAACTGATTAAACAATTTGGATAGAAGAATCTGTGAGGAACAAGTCATACAAGAAAGGTATTTATCCTGATCCTCCAATATTTGGGGGACTAGCTTTTCATTTAATTTTTAGAACATAAATTGATTATTTTCATAGTTCAATTTTTATGGTGTGGAATGCTGGGCAAGAATGGAAGGTGTTCTGATAATACAGTAAACCAGTACAAAAATATAATATTTGGTAGAATTGAATAAGATGTTGAATGGGAAAAATATAGAATAGCGTAAACCGTCGCATTGAAAATATTTAACATATAATAAATTATATGATCTAGTCAAATAATGAATAAAAGAACATAGAGGATGAATTGAAATTAAAATACCCTAACCAAATACAGCATCGGATGAAACCAAAATTTTAATGAAATAAATCATGAAAAATAAGGGATAAAAAAGGAAATTTATGGTAGAGAATCAAATGTTGAACAGAGAAGTGAAATTTCGGTTTGGGTGATTCAACGTACTTGAAAGAAGAGGAATCTCAACGTCAAAGCGATGCCCTTGCATAAATATTTGAACGAGTCATCGATAATGCATTGCAAAAAATGCAGGTTTTATTTTTATTTTATCTCATTTTTATTTACTATCGTCAGAAACGCAGCAAAACATGGGAATTTGACCATATCCCACTCAACTGATTCACGTCAGACCGAAAATAGGAATGAACTGATATACAGTACATGTCAGGGTCGTGAGCGCGTGGATCACTCATTCGATTTCTGCGTGAACCAGAAAATTAATTCTGCATCGTGTTATTTACCCACTGCATCCGGCATTAAACTACAATATAAGCGTTTGTACTCGATTCTTATTAGTTCAATTTCACATTCACTGCTCTGAAATCGGGGACGCTCTGTATAGCTGACTGAAATGCAAATCCTAAGCCGGTCGCAAAGAATATATTTGAGTCATCGAAAGTTTTCGATCGCACTTGTTTGTTTCGTATTATGGTGAGCATCCAATTCCAGAATTCAAAAAATTATATTATTCAAAATGTTCTTCAATTCCAGCACATTGATCAGCCGGTTGCTGCAATGGAGGAAGACACCTTATTCGCGTGAAGTTACGATTATTGCTGACGGTTCATGGGAAACAGATGAGTTAAATTTGACCAAGAATCCCACGAAAGGTGATTACAATGTAACATTTTAATATATTCTTCAGCAGGTCTTCTTAGAAGCAGCTTACAGGTACAAATTAACCCTGTACAGGAATTCTTGAATGTATGAAAGTTTAGAAGAAAACGTTTTGAAGATTGTTTTACGAACTTGCTGGAGAGGCAAAACAAATATTGATACGATTTTTGTCATGTGACCTTTATTCTGTTCCCGCATAGACGATTCTTTTGAGGTAAAGACAACCAAGTTTGCATGATGCTCACATTGCTTTATTATCCTTTATTTTTACAGATCCTACAATATTTCTTTAGAGTATCGTATATCAATTCAAATTCTGACAGATGCATGAAAACACGTTAAACCCGGGCGATATATATCGTTTTTTTTTATGACAAGGACAAGGTATTATGGGACATGTCCTCAACTTGATCTCATTTTTACAATATTTTTTGATGTTGGACGAGGAGCTTTTGTAAAACGCACACGGAATTGTCAAACTTTTACAGAGCAAAAGTTGAGTTCAGACTATTTCTAGTGTGAATAACTCCAATGAAGAACTCCAGCACAGAAAAGCATATATTGTATATTCTAAACTTATTGGACCAAGTTTGAAAGTTCATGTGCTTCATTGATCCTTAGCCATTTTTTTCAGGCTCTTTTTTCAGGCAGTTTCAATTTGAGTAAAATTTCAAATTTTGAGAGGCATCAGTTTTAAAACAAGGGCAAATTTTAGACTGCTATTTTGTATTTCAGTCTAGAATGCAAAGACTATACAATACTTGTATGAATTCTTTGTAGTCCAGAATGCAATGCCAAGTTAAATTTGACACACCTGTCTGACGCCCTCATACTTTTTTGTCGCAAATTTCTTGGAACAATGTATTAAAGAAATAATAATCAAATTATTATTACTATATAACATGTAGGGTAGTACAGTATACGAGTATAACATGTAGTGCATGTATTGTTAATATATAACATGTATTATATAACATGTTATTATATAACATGTTATGTAACACGTAGTGCAAAGAACATAGACCTGAGTTTCATCAGAATTGTAAAATTAGAAGCATTGTTTTCAATGAAATTCCAATGAGCCGAGTATAGATTGAATGAGGAAACTTCTCTTGCTCCTGTGTATCGTGATGAATGGAAGAGCCACATTGGAAGAACAGCAACGATTAGCTGCAGAATTATTCAATTTTGTTGGAAACAACAGCAGCACTGGACATAAGGAACGTCGAGCGATTTACAGGAAGCATTATTATTTCATCGATTTTTGGAAGTAATTTTCCATTCTAGCAAAATTACGGGTTGAAAACTTAATACAGTATGAGGTTTTGAATTGCAGACATGGGTTCAAGATGCCGATTTATTTCAACACTGTTCGTGACCCAGTTGCCCGCGAATTTTCCAAATTTTACTTCGTGAGGGCAAAACATGTGCTGGAATACATTAATGATACATTCAAAATAGACATCGAAATGGAAACTTGGTGAGCGAATAATTGATGCGAAACATTTCTTGTCATTACTTAATACTTTAAGATGTGTGCAGGACGAATGCTACTCTCATAATACATTCAAACTGTAGTTTTGAATATAAATTTGGGTTATTTAGGAAGCTCGTTTGACAAAACTGATTCTGAGATGAATGCGCAAGAAAATTTCAAATTCTTCGAAACAATCATTTGGGATTTTTCACCACATCATTAAGATTAAAATTAAAATGACTCTTTCTCAAAATGACATTTTATTCCGCTTGCTAGAAACAAATGTTCGGTATACCGTAGAATCTCGTGACAACGACTCTGTTTATAACGAATAATCGATTGAAACGAAGTCATTTTTGGTCCCCTGTCTGGGATAGCCTCCATGTTGTATGCGTTTTTTTTGTTACACCACACCGGTACTGTACCACAATAACCGGGATTCAAAAGTGAAACCAAGGGTACAAATTTTCTTGTCCACAAGGTTGAATCAGTCGCCTGAAAACTGCATTGAAAGTTACCAGTCTTGGATGAACTGTACTTCTTACGACTTCAACAAGCAGCCGAACTTCGGTTTCGTCGCATACTTTTGTGGACAGGAACCTTATTGCTGGTATGAACGACACATCTTCATTATTTCATCGAATGCTGGATAAATCAAGAATATATTTGTTCAACCAACAGGAAACGCAATAGCAAGAAGGCACTTGGAAAAGCACTGGAAAACATTGAAAAGTTTTACCCTGTCGTCGGTGTCTTGGAAAAATGGAACGAAACTTTGACTGTGATGGAAGAGTTCCCCAAAACGAGGCCGTTCTTCAAAGGAATCACAGACATTTACTACAGTGAGTCGAACCAATATCCGTAAGAAACACAGCATCATTTTAATTTTGAAGCCTTTGTTATGCGTCAGGCAAAGCAAGGAAGGAAGGGAAGGAAGGCAGGATCAATTACAACGATTCGAATAAACCAAAACAGGGTATCACTCCGAAAGTTAAAGAAGCGCTGGGGGAAATGCTCAGTTCTGAGTACACCCTGTACAAGTTCTTGATGAAACGCCTGATGAATCAGTATGCGGTTGTTACTTTGCTCAAAAATATCTCCAGTTCCCATGATGCAAGCAGCCGTGGAGAAGCATACGTTTTTGATGATGAATGATTCACCCCTTTTTTGTGGAAACATTTTTGTGACCAGAAAGTCTGGATTTTGAGCATAAATTTACCTATGGTGGATTTGAACTGATTTTGACACATTACTCTTCTTTTCATGGGTGATTTGATGTCCTGAATCAGGATGACATGACCATTCATGTTGAGCACTTTTTTCTTGAATATGAATACAAATATTATGCTGTGAAGAACTTCTTTTCAATTTTGATCATTTATCCTAAAATCCCTTCATCAGATTTTGAAGAGTATAAAAGATACTTTTTGAACTGGCAGTGAGCCTCAAGTGAAAACTGTACTTCTTAAAATGTCTCACAGGAAGTTTACTACTGGCCTTGAAGCTGAAGTGACTATGTGTTCTTAGCTAATGTAGGTGTTTATGCGTATTTGGTGAGTTGAGGGACTTTCTCAGAAAGGTGAGTAAAAGCTAAGAACCCTTTTTCAGATTAGCAGTGATTTATTACAATGCAGCATATGCAAATAGTTGGCAGAATGTCTCAAGCAAAAATGCTGGTGAATCAGGCCATGTGCAGAAGTTTAAACCTCGGACAGCGGAGGGTTCTTTCCCATAGCAGGACAGAGTTGGATTATTTTTGTATCCTCCCTCATTTGCAGATTTTTGAAGGTCAGGAAAACCCATCCAGTTGGGTTGAGGCAAAGTTGGGATAAATCCAAAAAAATGGGTAGCGTAACTGAAAATTTTTAAACCTTTCCTTCAAAAATTTTCTCTGCCCAGGGAAAAAAACATGGAGATTTTTCCTGACCCCCTGTAGACATTTTTTTCTTCACCTCTCTGAGGTGCAACAAAATTTTGCAAAAATAGTCCAACTTTGCCACCCAAGGGTTAAAGGGATGTGGTGGAAGAGGACAGTGAGCTGGTCAGCTTGCTGTCCAGATTCCACAACATAAGTGAGGACACAAGGTGGTAGTAGCAGGCTTAGCTCTCTGATGCCAAGGTGCACATTCATGCATGTATGTCTTCCACATACATATGCATTTTGTCCTTCATCACCAGCTTGAGCTGGTGAGTCAACAAAAGGAAGGAAAGGAGAAAGGAGACAGAGCACAGATGAGGGAGCCAGTCTCAGCTGGGCTTCCAGCACAAAGTAAGGATAACAATCAAATTTGTGATTCTTCAGCTTCAAAATACACAATGTGTATACCTAACTACATTTGAAGAAGTCAATTATAAAATTGAATAAAAAAATTGAATAATTCAAACAATCTTGAAAATTCTCTGTGCTCTGAAAAACTTTAAATTATATTCATAATTACTGAAAATAATAAAGGGCATGAAACTCACGGAGGAAGTAATCCACGTTGAAATGCAAACCAGACTTCCTGTGGTTATCAATGCGTAGTTGAGCATGAAAACAAACCTGTCAGTCATCTCGGATCTGCCTAATAATGAGGACTGCTCTGCATTTCTGGTATTTTGAGTAAATGCTAAATAGTAGCCAAAGGCACTAACTAAAATATAACATGTAAAGTTAAGGGTAGTGTGAAGGAACTGAAAGTTTGAAGTTGTGAACCAAAACAAAGGCCTGCTTCGCTGATTCACCAGGGAGAAGTTGACACTCTTTGGGTCTTTGATAAAATCAAAGAGACTTTTTGGGACTATTCCAAAAATTATGGATGGTATAATGATTATTCTCAGTAGCCTTCGACCGCAAAGCGTATCTAACCAACTCTGATTTTCCATTGGCCTAACCTTAATGTGTACTAAAATAATTTTTGAAACACGAAATTTTTCATCCCGTGAAGAAATCTGAAAACAGACGAGAGGCATTGTGTACGAACTTCATCGATTCATTCACATTTTAAAACCTGTAAAATTTTCTTGATCGAATCGATTAACTTTTCTGAAGTCCGAATAGTGCTTTGACAAGTGCATTTCACAAGTTTAAATGGCGATTCATTTCCGTTGAGAGAAAAAGAAGGAGGCCTTCGTATGAACAATACGTGTTCTGGTGACTGCAACACGACAATATACTGAGGCTTTGCATTCCAAATTCTATGCGTATAGCTTTTGTTGGTTCGTGAAGAAAAGACCAACATGCAAATAATAAATTCGAAAATGACCAGTGCGATGTTTTCGAAAAGTAAAAGCCGTTGTCGCGTCATACATTTTCCATGAGCGGATAACCTGAATCGAAAGCCGGATCGCCCAATTACTCGTATACTTTTCAAACGTAGCCATATCCTAGATCTCTGATTCTTTGTGTTCTGTGATGTTTACGCAGTTGACGATTATCTTTCACGCATGGATCGGATGAACGATTAGTTTCTTGACGAGTAAATTATGGAAAATGCACTATGAAGAAAATGACTGCCAGAGCTCCAAGACCAGAGAAATCGAGAACATAAGCGAAAAATATATCAAGTGCCTCGAATTCTCATGGGATTGCTTCCAACTTTTATACCTTTAATGCTTTATAGTTTTTACCATGCATTAAGTTACAATATTTATCATCAATAAATCGACAGAAGAGCAATTTCAGATGTTTTTTTCCTTCAGAAATAAGCACATCTGCTGAGATGAATTGACAGGAATACGAGCTCCAAATTCCGCGAAGTTCGCACGTATAAAATATTTAATGACTTCGAGTTTGAATGAAGCGATTTTTTTCGAAATTGCATTTTTGAACATGAAACAGAATTGCTGATATTTTGCACACAGCTCTTTGTCCTTCGAATTGTGTAAGGCTTTCTCATTAGACACATGGAAGTATAGACCAATAAAACTTATGAACACTGGAAACTACAGTAAGGTATCTCATGGAAAATAGAACCAATGTCATGGACATGAGGTCAAAATATATCGCATTGGTAATTTACTCCAATTTAGGAACCTCTTCAAGTCAAATTTGGAGGGACCAGAAAAAATTGAATCGGGCAGGTTTTGACTATTACAAAGGTTTTGAGTTACAGAGATTTGAGTTACGGAATCCGTAAGCACTGTTGCTGCGAGTAACGTAAGATAATTGAAAAAATTGTAAATAGTATTATTCTGGGCCTTAAATTGTGTCTTACACAAGTCAACAGTATTCTGAACTTGGAGGCAAGGCTTTATTTGCCCATTCTATCACTTCAAATAAAAACCCATGAAGTTACTGATTTTTTTCTTTCCTGTGTAAAAAAAAAAATAAATAGCCAAAAGACCTTTAAAAAAATATGACTCACAGAGGTTTGAGAGGAAAATCCTTTGAATTAGAGAAGTTTTTAATGCATTGTTTCTGAGAGAATTCAGACAGTGACTTAAAATATTTGACTTTGGGTGGTTTAATAAAGTTTTTGAGGTTCAATTGTATATTCCCAAAACAAGGTAAAATCTGTGCTCTTCTTTTCAGAGTTTTTTTCAATACTGCAGTATTTCCACTGCAGCGTCATGTGTGTTTGCTTTTTGCCCTTTCGACTCCTTTTCATTTCAAACAACCAGACTCTGGTTGGGTTTTACGCAGAGTCATTTTCTGTTTTGTGGTAAAAAAAATATTTCGCTGGATTTTTTACGAATTTTTTTTATTCTTTTGCCACGCACATGAACTCAAAGACAAAAAATTCTGTTGAAGTCTGTGCGATTCGACACGGGGATGTTATGGCATTTTTACGCAATTGTATCTCAATTTCGACGCTCAAGTGCAATGCTGTAGATAATTTTCAAACTGTGTTCTGTAGCCTATACTCATAGCTAAAAGCATATGTTCAGCTACAGTATTCGAGAAATAAAGCATTTCTTATGTTCCACAAAATAAAGTACTGTACTTCTCAACAAGTTGGGAGCCGAGTTTAATTTAAAGTTCGAAAAAATTATACTGCATTCTGATAACTGTCGAATCCACCTCCCCTTCCTCTGTGCAGTAAAACACGTACTACTGAAAATGAAGTTTCATTTCGAACGGCTAGATGTAGCTAGTACCGAGCCTTCAGCGCGAGGCCCCGACGAAAATGAATGCCGCATGGAATTATAATTTCGAAAAGAAAATGCAAAATAGTTACCCATTTTTCGCAAGATTTCCGGAGAATCTGCTCCAATTTCTCCTGAATGTGGAATGTTCGAAAAGGCCCCCTGTAGTCAAGAACGTATAAAGCAGAAATTGTTACTTGGGTTCATGTCATGCTGTCTCATATAAAGCCGGCGGGTTTTTCTCGGAATTATTCGAGCTAAAACACGCGAACTTGAATTAACTGATTCTTGAATTCTCTGTTATTATCTATGATATGTTAGCAAATTTCAATTACATTACGTAGTGCGAAAAATGTTCACACTACAGCAATCGGAAAACTAAACATACATGCTACTCCATCGCGTGAATAATTAATCTGTATAAAACATAAAAAATGCATTAGAGAAAAAACCGAAAATTAAACGAAACATTATGAAAATTATCTTAGAAGTGACTCCTGTACGTGGCATACGTTTAAAGTTTACGTCTGATGTAATTACTTTCATAAATGTTGTCAACTTCAGCGAATCAATCGCCCTTTAAAATTTGAAAATTCATCCCCGGGATGTTTCTTGCAGTCATTGATGAAACATTGAAGAATGTATTGCGCATAAAATATATAAAAAATATACACGCATGTTTGTTGATAGAAATAACTCCAGGATACATGAAGAATAAA